TAATACTTATTCAAATATAACTTATCGTTGTTTAAATTATTTATTCTAAACAAAAATTTTTACTTTATTAGAATTACGAGCGAGATTTGATAATGGTGAAGATCCAAACGATCCAAACAGTGGTGGTTCACCGTTCTTCTATTCTGACAATAATCCATTTATGCAGCAATTTGGCGGTTTTCCATTTACTGGGTTTCCGTTTAGTAGTGGCGAAAGCAGTGAGGGACAATATCAGTTCCATTTTAATTTTCCTTAAGCATTCGCGCATTATTCCATTGGTTTTTCACTTGAACAATTTTCTGCACTGTTTAGTAAAAAACATATACATTTAATATAGCACTTTGTTATTGATCTGGTTGCTGGACACTAGTTCTTCATCTATTTACAATCTTTGGAACTCATTTAAGGAGTTTAGCCCATTTCACTTTACACATCAATGTCATTTTCGACGTCCAACGTATTGTTTATACAACATCGACACCGTTATAACACAATTAATGCACAATTTTAGAGTATTTAAAGCTACTTCAACCCTTTTGGTGCATTATCGTAGATCTAGTAACATATTCCCGATTATTTGTTTATAAAAAAGGCCTTATCGTAATAAAATAGCAACATACTTATTGATACAGATATATGATTTAGAATAACATTTTAATGAGCTCACAAAGAATCTTATGATTTATAAATCGGATTTTAAATAAGTAATTTTTAAAATTGTAATATAAATATCATTAACTTATAGACAAAGAAATACATATCTTTTTGGCAACACAATTCATTAATAAAATTTCCATTAAGAGTATTTTAAACAATTCTATTGTTGTTTTCCATAAACGTTGATTTAGGTATTGTCTAATAATTTATTGGTTTAACCAATAGAAACTTTGGGTGAAAATCAAATGCAACTTACTGGTTACCGTTACATAAATACGTATTTGCTTTTTTAACCCTTACACCCCTTACATTACTCTCGTTGGAACTATTAGATTAGCAAGATGAATGCTCCGGATCGTTTCGATTTGTTTTACCTTCCTCCAGGTGCAAAGAAGTAAGCCTCTATAGCTTACCATGCCTAGAATTTACATTGAAAAATTCAAATAGAATTCAAAGTTTACCTTTTTGCAACTAATTTGTCATTCGTCTTTTTCTTCGTTACTAAGGATGACCATTACACCAGATCCAAAGGTTGAAAATGGTGCAACCTTTGAAATCCTTAGAGAAGATCACACAATGGGCAATTTGATGCGATAGTAATTCTAATAAAGTAAAAATTTTTGTTTAGAATAAATAATTTAAACAACGATAAGTTATATTTGAATAAGTATTA